CCGATTGACATCGGGGGCTCGCCAACAACCTCAAAGCTCGCCATTCGGCAACGCCGCGCGGCGTGCAATGCGGTCGTTGATAGCAATGTGCTTCTTCGCTTCGTTGCGGATCCGTCGGCTGAGGACCGCGGCGTCGTACCACGTGAAGCTCAGCTCGGGGTTCGACGCTTGCCGGCCCAAGGCGCGGAGCGCCTCGGCCTGCTGCGAATCGCTGTAGAGGAACAGGTAACGTTCCTTGCCCTTCACGAGGGCCAGTACATTGACGTCATCATTCACGGCGGGTCGCCTCCGTGCGGCGCGTGCGGGGGGAGCAGCGGGGGGGTGGGAGACAGCGAGAGGGTTCGCGACTCGGCGGTCAGGGCCCACATCCGTTGGGCCGCCGCTCAATGCCGCTGTCGTTGCGAGCCTGAAATCGCAACGACAACTCTCACTGCCGTTGGGGGTCTATCGGCCGTCGGACCAACGACGCACCACTCGCGTTTCATCACCGCCGCCGCGCGCCGAGAGCATTTCCACCAAGTGTTGGTGGCAGCAGAAGCGGATGAAGTCCTCGCTGCGCGTGAGATAGGACTGCCAGCCCCCGAAGCGCGCGTCGTCCCTGAAATCGACATAACTGGCAAGCGCGGTAGTAAACTCGGGGTCGTTGCCCCGGAAGACCCGCGTGTGCGTCATAACCGGACCGGGGTTCGCGGTGGCGACAGGCCGCACGGGCGACGGCCCCGGCGGCGTGAAACCGCGCGCGTCGGGCCAATTCGGTGGCGTCATGACGAACGAATCACTCGCAACGGAGGCGCCGCTCGCAGCGCCTGACGCGGTTGCGCCGCCCGCTGGCGCCTCGTAGGCAGCGTTCTGCAGCGGCTGACCTGCGCCGGCGTCAACGCCTCGTTCGCCCCGAGGAACCGGCAGTGGTTCGGCTTCTTCGATCTCGACCTCCGAGGCGTCGTCTTCATCGAACGGGTCCATCGGTGGGATCGTGTTCGGATCGACCGGCTTGATAACCGGCGCTGACGGCGCCCCATCGGTTGCTGGCGCTACCATCGGCGATTGCGTTTCGAGCTGCGCCCGCGCCAGCGCCATCTCCGCCTCGAACACGAGTCGATCGGGGATGAACTCTTCTTGCGCCGTGCCCCACGGCAGGCCGTAGCCCGCGGGGATTTCGTGGAAGCCGGCGTTGGCGGCGTACCACTCGACACGCACGCCGCACCGCGGCGGGTAGTAAGGCGAGTAGTCGGTCACCGTGCCGATCACGACCGCATCGACGCCGAGCTTTTGCGCGAGCCAACGCGCCTGGTTCACCGCGTTCTCGGGCGGGTCGAACGTGACGTTGTGCTGGCGCATCGCCGCTTCGACCGCCGCGACCGGGACGACCTCGAAGCCGGGGATGCCCTGCAGCTCGGCGTAGTAGGCTTCGGCGAACTGCCGGCCGTCGACCGTCGGCTCGGTGCTCTGATTGAAGAACGGCACCACCGCCACGCGGCTGAGCTGCGGGAACGGGTTGTGGACAACCGGCTGGTGCGAGATTTCAGGCAGCACCAGCGAGCACCCGCTCGCTAAGAAGACGAGCGGCGCGAAGGCCAGCAGCAGGAGATTTTGGGGGCCGCGGTTCATGCGTCCGTGCGTCGCAACGCCAGCAGGCCCCCCTGCTAGCACCAGGCGCATGTGCGCCTACCTCGTGGGCATCGTCACAACCGGCGCCGTCGCTTTAATCGGAATCGCCGGAATGTCTCACACAGAGACCCGGAGGAAACGGCGAGCCGGCCACGCAAGTGGTTGGAGGAATCACGCAAAGCCGCCAAGGCGCGAAGGAGCAACTGGCGAGCCGGGAGCGTCAGCGACCGGAGTGACGCGGGTACACGGGTCCAACTCCGGTCACCGATGAGCGGCGCGATTTCCATTGACCAGCTACAAAGAACCGGACGCTAAGGCGTGCCGGCTGATCTTGCCAGCTAGCACTCAGTAGCCGCGGGGCCTTAGCCCCCGGTTCGAATAGCGATGGCTTTGTGCAACATGACGTAAACGACTTCGATCGCGTTGTGCAAGAATCATCGTGAGCGGCCCGAGGATGCCGGGTACCAACTTCCCTCCGGTCGCTCACGCTCCCGGCTCGC